GTGCTGATTTATTCAATGAACACAGGTAAAAATTAACATTACATGCTCAGGTATCTTCCACCTCCAACATGCACGCAGGCAGCTGAAGGATGAAAGACCCCGAACCACAACAGGCCTATACATTATATCACTTCGGGCTAACCCCATTCTACAGAGAGAGATGCCAAACCGTGACGTGTCCCTGGTGCCAGCTTTGCAGCTGGTCATAGCAGTAGTCAAAGCATGAAGAAAATCAATGTGTGACTGTCTGTTGATTATGTGGTGTGTAGCTAAGAACATTCTCACACGACCTCTAGTGACATGTCATGACATTAAACATAAGAACATATTATGGCTAAGGCTACAGTTCTACACATCATAATAATAATATTAAACACCCTGTCTGCTGACAGTCATCAACTCTTCTCTCTAGTATCCTTGACCAGATGTACCCTGTAGAAACTCATGAGCATGACTAAGCATTTAACAGCCTACCTAGACATCCTGACTCCACTAAACATTTCTAATACAACAAGTACCCAACCAATATCTATCTGACTAAAAATACCTAACAGGTGTGTATTTAGCCATGTTTAATTAAATCACTTCCTCCCTCCCTCCACTCTCTCTGTCCTCCTCCACAGTGGCAGTGCCAGTAGGAGTAGCTGTGGTGAGTGTCTTTGGGCTTGTCTTCACTGTGTCAGCCTTTGCGTGGATCTGTTGCCAGCGTAAAAACACCAAATCCCAGAAGACACCCCCCTACAAGTTTGTGCACATGCTCAAAGGCGTTGACATCTACCCGGAGAGCCTCAGCGGCAAGAAGAAGTTTGCTGCCTCTGCCACCACAACAAGTAATGACACCAGCAAAACCGATGTCAATGGAAACTGCCACACTGCATCGCCACTGAGCCCGACCAGCGCCAGTAAACTAGCATCAAGTCCAAATGGTTCCAGATCATCTCTGCATCTGGATCTGGAAAAACGAGATCTGAATGGCAACTTCACCACAAAACCATTTCACCACCACCACCAGAAGCTGCGGAGCTCCCCGGACCTCGAGCTGCCTTCGCCCCATGCAGGGTTCACCCAACCTGGGGTGATGGACCGTGGTGACCTCTCTTCACCTTCTAGCACCCACTCCAGCCAGGCACCCACCCCAGCTGTGGACAAGCCTCAGGGGGAAGAGAAGGAGGGTGGACTGGGAACCCTCCACTTCTCCCTGGAGTACCAACCAGAGAGGAAGGCTTTCATTGTCCATATTAAGGTACTGTGTGTGTGTGTGTGTGTGTGTGTGTGTGTGTGTGTGTGTGTGATCAGTTTGGGTACAATTGAATAAGAATGATTTCACACTGACTGATTAATTTCACCTTTTAATTCAGGAAGCCCATGGCCTGAGCCCAACTGATGAGCAGTCACTGACCTCTGACCCCTACATCAAGCTGACACTGCTGCCAGAGAAAAAGCACCGGGTGAAGACCAGAGTCCTGAGGAAGACTCTGGACCCTGCCTTCGACGAGACCTTCAGCTTCTATGGGATCCCGCTGGCTCGAGTGTCAGAGTTGTCCCTTCACTTCATGGTGCTGAGCTTTGATAGGTTCTCCCGTGACGAGGTCATCGGGGAGACCCTCGTCCCATTGTCTGGGATCGACTTGTCAGAGGGGCGTGTCCTGATGAGCCGAGAGATCATCAAGAGGAACATCAAGGTTAGTTCTACAAAAGTGTAAATGTTTCAGCCCTTTAAAGTCAGGTTTGTTGTTTTACCTCCAGTTGTTTTTGTCATCATCCTTGTTTTAAGTGTTATCTGTTACTGGTTTTACAGCAGGCACTACACCATGACATGTTCAGTAACGCTCACACTGACCAAGGAATCACATAAAATTGTAACATTTTTCAATTATGACTCCTCAGTTCCATCATTAAAACACCAGTGGCTGCATTACTAGTTTTTAAAATGTCACTACAACAGAGCACCTTACAGAAAAGTAGAAAACTGAAGTGATTCTACTGATAAAATGTTAATCAGTACATAATCATTTTGAAAGTCATTTACTTATTAAAATATGAGAACATTTGTGATGTTCTTCCTCTAACTCATCTAAATGCCTTATATTTCTTGAAACCATCCTGAAATATTCCATAAAACTTTCAAATGTTAATTTAAAAATGAATGAAAGGTTTGAATGAAAAAGCAAGTGGTACGTTTTCTAAAGGCACTGAAGGAATTCACTTTTACTGACTGTCTCTAATTAGGTTAGAAATGTGTTTATGTTAAATCAGGCCAGTGGAGAAAGCAGATAGGAAGTGTATCCCTCTGTGGAGGCTGAGACTAGATTGGTTCCACCGTTATGGATTTGCAAGCTGATACTGAGGTCTGGGGTTGTGCTTCAAAGGACGTCTGTGAGCCGAGTCTTTGTTGTTTCTATTTTGTTTCATCAGTTTTTGCTTTTGTTGAATATCTCTTTTGATTAAATCCCAAACAGCTCATTTTTCTGGAATTCTGAAAATAAGTGGTTGATGCAATCAGTGAATTTAACAGCTTGCATCACCATGTCCCCTCACAAGCAAACAAGGCCAGTGTATGCTCTGAAGTATGGCTATTGTGAGTGGTTTTTTTTTACACCATCAGGGATTAAAAGCAATAATGTAGTGGTGGTCAACTTGAAATAGAACAGACTATTTATTACACTCCTAGTTGTGTATTGAACAGGCGGGGTAAAGACAATACCACACCTTTATAGATTTGTGGACTGGTGGTCAATAATCTGCTGCTCCAGACTGGCTGTTCATGAGGTCCACAAGTGTACGGTAGCTTATTTCCACTAGGATGTTTTTCATTTTAGAAGAATGCCATCTACTCTAGACTTAAGCTAATATACTGTGCTGTTGTACTGAAATTAAATATCCATGTATACAATATATCTAAAGCTCCTGTAAATACATTGGACTGAACCTATTTCAGCAGGTTTGGCTACACCACATTGGTGTAATGTGAAGATGTCTACATCCTTATCATAGGTCTGTGGTCTAGTATGCAGCAGCACTCTACAGATTGCTACTAGATGGCTTGGCTGTACATGAGCATTTGTCCATTTGCAAGTGGAATGTGAGATGATAGCAATGTAACTAGAGCTCTGTGGGCTGATATTGTACTCGGCAACGCTCTGCTAAAATGGAAGCTCTGTGCCTACCAGGTGGGAGTGGATATGTTCATGCACATTTGTACCTTCCCAGGAGGAACATAAGCCATCTATAATATCTTTAAAGATCTCTGATATGATATAGTACTCCAGAGAAGCGCTCGGATGTGCAGTTCAGATTCTGAGAAATATAAAAGGTTTATTTCCACCTCTCTGCAGAATTTCCGCTGTACTTTAATCATCAAGAGGATCATATTTCTTAAGCTATGTTCTGCTCGCTCTCCCCACACTGAGGATAACCATATTTATTTTTATTCTATTTCGCATTTAGGGCCCAGAAGAGACAAATCTCATAAACCTCAGCTGTACGGAGGAGCCTCAACCGTCTGAACCTATTTTTGTGCAATCAATAGAAAATTTGTTTTAGAATCCATGATATTGCTTTGCGTTAGGTTATTTCTGCATTATTTTGTTTGATTAGATGCTGACAGGTGAAAAGAGGGGAAAGCTGCACTTACAAGTTGTTTTCTTTATTTAAAGAGCACACTGGCGCTGTTTCCTCTGCAGGAGAATAAAAAACTCTTTATGGCAAATAAAACTGCAAAGAATTAGTCCTGATGGTGTAAGAGAATTCATTCTTACACACTTAAGTGAATGAATTGACAGAATTGTTTATTCAGTATTGTAGCCAGTATTTTATGTCTCTATGTGGTCACAGTATGTGTTTGACATGTAGTGAGACTGGCTTTTGTTGAATGTCCAAAAAATGAGAGACATAAAACACACATTGTTCTTTCTGAATAGAAGCAGCTCTTTGGTAGCAGGGTGGTGGCTCCCTTTCTCTGCATGGTGTAGATTTGGTCCGTACGCTTTGTGCACAGCGGTGCAGCCACTGCCCAAGAAAGGATGGAATAAATGTCTTTTTTTTTGTGGGTACTCCGTATATAAACACACTTGCATCATACTTTCCAAGACCTGAACATCAGGTCGGGACTAGAAGTTGTCTGTCTCTGTCTGATACTTCTCATTGCCATGGCAACTATGAGCAGAGGAGAGAGAGATCCTCTTAGGTGTGATTGCAGCATCTGAGGTGTCAACTATCTCCCGTGCAGACATGGGAGTGAATGTGGATGTGTGTTACAAATTGTAGAACAGCAACACAGTAAAAGCTCTAATGCAGTGCAAATTAGGCGGCTTCTCACTGACACACCTCATAAGCAGGTGGTTAATTAACAGCCATTTAATGGTCAGCACGACACCATTTTCATGTACAGTACAAGCAGCTACATTTTTCCTCACACTGATGTCTATAGCTAATTACTATATTTACTTTAAGTTATTTATTAGTACATAGATTTGCCAGTTGCCCCACCCCATTAACTGTTACTGAATACATACTGTATATGTTTTCTCTTACTAATATTTAACTCTACCTACTAAAACTTGTTTAATTATGAATTTCGTTTGACCGTTTTCTCCCATCACCTCTCACTTTCTACAGAAATCCTTCGGCCGAGGTGAGTTACTGCTGTCCCTGTGTTACCAGTCCACCACCAACACACTGACTGTGGTTGTCCTCAAGGCTCGCCACCTGCCCAAGACTGAAAACAATGGACCTACAGGTACATCCACTATTAGCTGAACCTTGCAGTCTACAATACAAGTGTGCACACACTTTCTTCTCATGACAATAAACAGCTGAGACTGAAATCAGTTTGTGCTTCCTGCCCCGGAGCCCAGACTACTTTGGATGCTCTGATAACTGCGATAATGACATCACAGTGCACTGAAGTAATCTGATCAGGATGTGATAGAGAGCACTTTAATGACAACCACATACACACAGTCACATGCATGCATACACAGACACGCACAAAGTGTTTACACAGCCAGACATTTTTACCCTCATTTCTAACATCCATCATTTTGGCTCTATCGATTACTGTATTGATCTGGTGTAGGAATAAAATGTCCCTGTGCAGCTGTTGCGGGGATGGATGTTCATCATCCCTTTTTTTTTTTTTGCTTTTGTCCTAACTTTCTTCATCTGCTATTGTCTATTCTTTGTCTCTAGATCCGTACGTCAAGGTGAACATGTACCACGGAAAGAAACGTGTGTGCAAGAAGAAGACCCATGTGAAGAAATGCTCCCCCAATCCAGTCTTTAATGAGCTCTTTGTCTTTGATCTGCCCTCTGAGGAGGGTCTGAGGGACACCAGCGTGGAGCTGCTGCTGATGGACTCAGACACAAGCAACCCACGCAGCCCCAACACCATCCTCGGGCGCCTGGTCTTGGGCACGTCAGCAGCAGGCACTTCTGGTGAGCACTGGAGGGAGATATGTGACCACCCGCGTCGCCAGATTGCCAAGTGGCACGCCCTGTCAGAGGATTAGAATGCTGGGGTGTGCAAATGCTGTCATCCACATCTGACCTGGGCAAACCATGAGAGGGATGCAGTGAGGACGGGCAGGATCTAATGTCCTGCTAGCCACTAACCATTGGACTTTCAGTAAGGGCGGGTGGGAATTAAGGGGGATGGGACTTTGATGTTGTGGGGAGGGCCATTTGAAGTGATGTCATCATTCAGTCGCTTATGTTTGAAGTTACTGGGGTTCAGCACGGAGGGTATATGGTATGACAGATGGGACCCCATAGCTTTAAATTATCCCAAAGACTCTCAGAAAAATCACCTAGTAACATGTAACATCCGCTCCATGACCAATTGTCACGATACCTGTGTGCAGTGCAGAATGTCTTAAATGTTGCTCTTCTTTTCTTCCTCTGCTCCTTCTTCTTCTGCTGCTTCTCGTTCTTCAGCTCTTCCTCCTATAAATAGTAACCTAGTCCATCACACGAAAACCACATCTGACAAAGCTGTAAAAATGTGGAATATTAAAATTTATTTTATAATGACAGTGTTTTCTTCATGGAGATGTAGATTGTTTTTATTTATGTTTTTGTTTTGTACTCTTCTGGTTGAATTGCTGAACATGTTTTTGTAAGTATAAGTGGTATTTCATATATCATTGCCTAAGTGCAAGAAAGCCTAAATTAGGTGGTTTGGGACAAAAACAGAACAGACTGAGTGCACTGATTGTATGTTTTGATATGAGTGTGCTTGTGTTGACATGATTGTGAGAGTATGCCTGGGTGTGTGTGTGTGTGTGTTAGGTCTGAAAACGTGAATCACATAATGTTTACTGTAGGTGTTTTGTTCCTCTTACTGTGAGCACAAAGACAGCTGAAATGTAAATGTATGTACCTTATAAAATATGGCAACTTCTGAGAAAAAGAATGAGTTTGCAGTCTTTATTTCACATGACTTCCTGTGACATTAACTGTGTGTGTGTTTGTGTGTGTGTGTATGTTAAGTACATTATTACAAAATAAACATTTCTAGCACTAATGAGTTAAGACTAAGCTCACTTTTTTTTTATAAATATAGTGAAACAGCTCCACTCTAGAAAAATTCTGTTATGGGATAGTTCTATCAAAAGTAAAAACTTCTTTTAAAATGCTACAGTACAGCGTACACAGTGGTCTGGCACCCAGGGGATGACATCATCAGACCCCTTTCCAGGTCTGATGATGTAATAACTGCTGAGAGGCTGGGTGCTCAAAGATGACATCATCATGTCTGAACTGAATGCTCCCTCTTTTCTTTCTTTATGTCCAAAGCAAACACAACCAAGAACATCATTCTGCCTCTGCCCTCTGAGTTATAATCATGTGTTTGGCGGTGGAGTCTCTACAGAAACAAGATGTTCTGTCGCTCTATACTTCCATGGTTCTGACCTGCAAGGCTGTTTTCTGAGAATCGTTTCTATTTTAAACCTCTGCAGTCATCCTTGAAGGAATAAAATGTACCTGTCACTTGCAGCACCCCCTTATCTCCCTGTTTCTCACCTTCTCTAGCTAACCAATTACAATTAAGCCACATCTGCCATCTGTAGAGGCTGAAATAATCTCTCTGCCTTAACCAGTGAGCTTAACCTCAGTGAGCAGATTAAAACAGTCACTGATCCAGACATAATAGTCTAGTCACATTGATTAGATTATGAGTGCCATGGTCATGAATGAATAAAAAGCACAACAATCATCACACTGTGTATTTATTTAATACTGCACTAATCAATGAATACATGGAATAAGATAAATAACAATAGGAATCACATGAACCTACAGACCAAGGTGACCCAAGTCAGTGGTTTCTCTCAGCTCTACAGTGTATTTTAGTGTCTTTCAGTTCATTGTTTTACAGTTGTAACTGTTTTGGTTGACCCACACTGCTCTCATCATTCTAATAATAGCAGGCAGACAAAGTTAGCAGGTGGTCATAGAGTAGTATAATATTTAGCAGCTAAGCAGCTAAGGAGCAGCAGAAGTGGGTGGAGACTAAAAGGGAGCTTAAAAAGGAAGTGAATATTTTACTTAAAATAACCAGAAGGACAGAAATATGACTTCAAAGGAAAGCTAATGTTGCTCTGCTAAATGTGTAAATAAGTAGGCTCATTGTTTGATAATGCACTCTTCAAATTATCTTTAAGTAGTCAACTTTGTGTTTAGTTTGTTGTGTTGTCCCTAAGTGGCCTTAAAATTTGTTAATGGCCGATTAATTATTAAAGTTTGTTGTTCGCCATACATACTGCCTACAGCCTTGTCATTATATATTCATTTTCCTCCTCTTTCTTTTTAAATTTTGCAGACATATGTCTAAGGCCCTAAATTTACTTTTATTTGTTCATGTCTGTCTGTTTCCCTTATTGCTAAGCCTATAATTATTGGTATATAGCCATTCACTGTGAAGATAAAATGAAGATAATAATGAGGCAGAGATTTTTAAAAAGATTTCTTTTTTTAATATTAAATGTCATTGTCATGATATCCAAATGGCTGATTTGAGACCATTCATTCAAGCAGGCTTCAATTTTGACTTGGCTTTTTTTCAGTGTATGGGCAACAGCGTTCCGAGGCTTTCTGAACCACTTAGATGGTTTAATGACACCTATACATAGCACACTCACAATATCAAACTTTATCGCTATGATTAATCAATATGTGCCTTCAATGATGAACCAGACCATTGTTCTCCTCATCTTCAGTGATACCGTAGATACAGTACAACCAGTGACGTGTGGTCAGGTTGACAGCCGGTGAGGCACTGACTCTTTTACAGTCAGATTTACAAATACAAATGGTCTGTTAACAGACAATGCGTTATGTTTTATATCTCATATCAGCATTCTTCACACAAACGTGACCCATATTTAATTTGAGGTTAAAATTTATTCCAGTTGAGCCTATTTCTAACTAGAAATAATAAAAGTTTATGGTCTTACCTTTACTTGTACATGAAATCCATTTGTCAGCTGGTATGTATTACAAACCCTTTTACCGTTCGAATCCAATATTAAAACAAATGTTTTCAATAAAGAAGATCCTTCTGGACAAAAATGTCCAGACTGTCAAAAATGTTTTGATTGAAAGAGTAACTTTTTTACTGGGTTTTATGGTTAATCTGCAGCCTAAACACGTTACAGAACTACATTTTATACATTATCCAGATTATGGCAAGGCAGAGCATATAATCAGAGTGTTTGAAAGCATTTTATTTGCGATATATAGAGGGACAGCGACACACTATTTGCATCGCATACAGTTTGTGAGGATTACACGATCCACCGAGAGGCACAGCAAAGTGCTGCCTCATCGCGCATCTCCTCCATGTATTTGAACGGGACATACGGAAATTCTGCTATTCTTTATTGAAAAAAAAATCCTTCAACATCGGATTCGAACGGCAAAAGGGCCTACAACACATACCAGCCGACAAATATTAACATTTATTATATTTTATGGTTAACTTATTTTTTTCTTTTCAAGATTGACCCTCCCCTGCCTCCCCTGACCGCACGTCACTGATTACAACTAAATAGACACACACAATCAATATGTAACATTTCTGGATCCTAGTATTTGCCCCAGTAAGGTCAAGTCACAATTGTTATGGCCACTGAGTGTATGATGTACCAATCTCCAGGGTAGAGAAGCTACAGAGAATGTTTAGCACATACATTAGGAAGTGGCAGGGAGCTCTGTGCTGCCTCAGCAGTGTGGCTCTGTACAGAAAACGGATTTTGGAGCTCCCTATAACCAGTTTCACAGGGGAGATTAAATGCACTGAGGCCAGAGTGGAGCTAGTGCTGTCAGACTCCAGGGATGTAGTGGTGCAGAGTTCAGCATCAGCCATCTCAGCAGGGAGAAGTGTAACCCGAAGGAGGAAGTGTTGCAGGCTCAGGAAGCTATTAACCACAGGTATTGTAGGGCAGGTACAGCATAGACATGGTGGCTTTGGTTTAAGTACACCATAACCTTCTTGGAGCAAAGCAGCAGCAGCTGACTGAAGGAAAATGGTTATTGAGGAGAATAGGATGCAGGAAGAGGCAGGTAGCTGTGCAAAGGCAGTCTCCCAGGCTCAGCAGGGACAGTGGATGAAATGGGAGGAAACTTAGTCGGAGGGAAATGTGGGACGTGGAGGCAGGAAGGCTTAAATTAATTCTAGGCGCAAGTTATGATGTGCTTCCATCTCCTCAAAATCTGATTAGATGGATGGGTGAGGACCTGACATGTCTCTTGTGTTCAGATGTAGCATCACTTCAGTAAATCCTCAGGGTGTAAAAGAAGCCTGGCTTAAGGACGATACACCTGGAGACATAATGAATGGTAGAAATATTTAGCAGCAGCTTTTGAAAGTAGGCACTTAGAGGTAAACGCAACGGAGTTAAAGGAGGAACAAGAGGGGACTTGTTTGTAAGGGTGAAAAAGGCAGGAAGCAAATTATTCTGCAGGCCAGCAAAATACAGGGAGAAATGGGCTAGGTAGATCTGAGGAATCAGCTCATAATTCCTGAGGAAATTCAGCACTAACCTCAAACCGGCCCTAGTGCTGTGGTCAGAAGCACAGTGGACTGTGTAATTTGTTGAGCTTACAGCTCCCTGGGAGGACGCTGAAGATACATCTTATGAGAGGAAGAAACTGAAATGCACAGAATTAGTCATGGAGGCAGAGGAACGTGGCTGGAAAGTTAAAGTTGGTTGTAAGATATTTGTAGCCGAGTCAGCTGTCTCTCTGCTAGGTGAGTTAGGTATAAAAGGGGTGGAGCCTAAGACACCTAATTAGAAGTGTTACTGATAGTGCAGCAAGGTCCAGTGATTGGCTCTGGAGCAGAAGAAAGGTGTGTGAATCGGGTAACAAATGGGTAAGTGATTTATAAATGGCGACATATGTGAGGATTGTGACTGTTAAGCTGAAGTAAACTTGTAAAGGAGGACAGGCTTAGTAAAAGTGTTTCATACATGCAGCAGGCTTGAGGCCTACTTCCTGGAGTTAACATGAGCACGCCAACATGATGGCATAGTAGAAGTTTGACTGGTTTGTTGGAATGAATACTAACACAGGGTGGTTTTTGAGGCAGTATAAAAGGAAACAGAAGTCTGGCTCATTATGTGGTGAGCTATCTGAAATGTTTGGTGGCTAAAACAGCAATTGAAATGTTTGCTAGTGCTAATGAGAAAGTTACAGACTCACTGGAACTGTTAATAGTCTTCTTGTGTTAGACAGTCTTGGTAGAACAGTGTCAGTGGTTGAACAATTGAGTGGTCCCTGCTCTCAGAGCTGACTGTCATTACAAACCAGTTGGGTCAGACACAGCTTAACCTGAGCAAATACAGTGCAGATACTGTGTGTCAAGCTGTATATCTGCTATTTGCTTGGGTGAGGACAGGGTTCAAGGATGCTTTGTATTAAGGGTATGTTAGGTCTGGAAAATGGTGTTGCTTGTGGGGCTCTGAAGATTTATAATGGCATGGTCTGACACCCCCCTCTTTGGGGCCAAATAATGTGTAAACATCATTTAACTTGTATACTGAGTTTCCATGCTAAGTTTTGACCTTACGTGAAATTAAAGCTCCTGGTTGATTAAATGTACCATAAAATAGATAATATAATAATTCAGCTTGAAGTGCTAAGTATGCACAACACCCCTCTGTAGTGCACCTACAGTAGAAAAGATCAGTCTGCAGAAGAATGTCAAAGAAAGAAGTAGATGGATGAAGGGGGAGGAGGAGGTGAGACAAGATTCATACAGCCTGACAGGAATGGAAGGAGTAGTGGAGAGGGATGACATAGCACCAGGATGAGGTATGAAGTAGAGGAGGGAGAGGGGACTGAAATGAGAAAGATGAGCTGGAAGGAAGTTTGCCTGTAGCAGAGTGAGATGAGTTGCTGAATAGCTGATGTGAGTGGGTTTGTAGACAGCCATCAAAGTGGGCATCTGAGGGTGATTTGTGAATAATAAAACTAAGAAGTGGAATGAAGAGGCTAAAACACAGAATGGTTGAGAACTAGACCTGATCACTTCAGCAGAATACACAAGAGAACGGTTCAGTGACTTGAAAGAGGTTGCTTAAAATTGAAGGATAGAAAAAGTACTCTTCAGCCAAATGTGCTCATGCAACCAAGTGATGAAAATCTTCAAAGATCAATTAGAATACACACAACAAACAAGCACTTTAGCATCCACATTTTGTAATAAATGCATTTGTGCAATGCTACAATAAATTCTATATTTCTATAACACTGAAATAATACTTTTGTCTTACGCACAGTTTAAGTCATATGATTTCTAGTAAATATCTGTTATGCATACTGAGGTGCCATTCTGTAAAATGTCTTTCATTTTGTTAGCACAGTGTCATAGTTATGTAAAATTGAAATAAAGTTTTGTTTGTGCATCTACAATATTTTCATTTTATGTAACACTTAACTTCAAGGTTGTGAAGATAGCAGAGGAGAACAGAATGCATGGCTGACACTGTAGAGAGAGAGAAAAGTTATTTATATAACCTGTTATCAGTGTTGTATCGGTACCCAAGGTGCACTGTAGCAGAGAGAAAAAGGACGACAGGAGTGGAAACGGCAAAGAGAAAGTAGGGGAGAGTGAAAAAGATAAAGCAAAGAAGACAAAGTATAATATTTGTGTGGTGACAAATTGGAGACAACATTTCCATCCATCCAGTCTTTGTTTGTTGATTTTGCTGTACCACAGGGCTGGCACGTATGAACAGACAGATATTAAATCACTTGACCTACACTCGACCTCCAGGTTTTTGGACTGTGGGAGGAAATCAGAGCCCTGCAGGAAGTGCAAATTCAGGCAAACTCAAGAGGAAGATGTATACTCAAACAGGACCTTCTCTGTGTGAGGCAAAAATGCATAAAAGACAAAATGACTACTATTTCATCAATTTATTTCTGCTTTATTTGAATGAAGTGAGATCCAGATTTGTCCCGTGTGCATAATATGAACATTTCTAAGAAATATATAATATGAGAACACTGCAGCAGAAAGGTTGTAACATAGATATATACTGACACTAATCATATAATATAGATGTATATTATTTTCTTCCCCAATATTCCACACTATTTTTATGCTAATATTTTAAATTAGTCTAGACAATACAAGAAGCATTCGCAATAAGTTCAACAAGGGACTGTTTTTTCTGTCACATTTTACCATTATTCCTTAATGGGCCAATTTCTTCTTGATCTAACCACCTCTGCTTTCGCTCTATGCTGAAGTCCCTGACATTTGTAATTCTGGTACTGCTGTATCTGCCGTCTAATCAGTCCTTTGTGATGTTTCTTAAACATCATTGAAATTCAGTCTTTTAGACCTGCTATTGCACCTGCATTTCCTTCACTACCATTAGCTCCAGGTTGTGCCCCAAGATTCATCTGAGAGTTTGCCTTAGGTTTAATTCAATCACCAAGACTTCAGGTACATCCTGTCCTTCCTTAATAAAGGCAGATGCAATGAATGTGACTCTCTCTTTCTAACTTCAGTAACTTCAAACTGATCACTCCTAAAACAAATCAGCATAGGTGCAATATAGAGCTGAGGCAGTAGTGTGAAAACACTCCTTTCTGTTCACATTAATAATAATGATTTGTTTTGTCCATGCTCAACTTTCTCCCCTGTAAGTCTGTAACCCATTCTGACTCAGCCATTCTTGTTGTGTCCTCCAGAGCTATTCTAATCTGTCAATGTGCTCCTCTGTTAAATCATCTATATGGGGGCGGCTGTGGCTCAGGAGGTAGAGCGGGTCGTTTCCTAACTGGAGGATTAGTGGTTCGATTCCCGGCTTGTCCAGTCAACATGTCGAAGTGTCCTTGAGCAAGACACTGAACCCACAGTTGCTCCCGGTGATGTCACTGGTGTGTGAATGTTTGGGAGTGTGAATGGCCAAATAGTGTGAAAGCGCTTTGAGTATGCTGTAAAGCATAGAAAGGCACTATACAAATATAAGACCATTTACCATGTCTGTGTGTCTCTTTGTTTGGAGAAATCTGTCCCCGTTGCACTGTGGGATGGAGAGGATGAGTCATTGTGGAAATGGGTTTTGTTCAGACAGATGAAGGAACACATATTCACAAATAAGTTTAGTGCAAGTTCTGAGCAACCCTAACCATCCGCTCTGTAGTGACAGTAATATCAACAATCTGTCTCAGTCCGGAAGCTTTAATGGGACATCAAGGCTAGCTATTTGTCAGGTAGTGAGAGCACTGAGAAATTAGGAATTGAAAAGGTTGACATTGGTTAATGAGAGTAAACAGTAGCTTTTGTAGAGCCACATGGCACACAGAATGCCACTTGGCATTGTTAGGTATTTTTTAGTCAGATAGATATTGGTTGGGTACTTGTTGCATTAGAAATGTCTTTAATGTAGACAGGATGTCTAGCTCAGGCTTTTAAATGCTTACTCATTTCCAGGAGTTACTCCAGGTTGTTTATGTTCAAGGATAACTAGATAGAAAGTGGCTACTGTATGATATGTTCAGCCGTAATCTTAATCATAATATCTTCCTAGGTTTAATGTCCGGACATGTCCCTGAATGTCCTGTATGTTCTTAGATACACACCACTTAATCAACACTCACACACATTGATTTTCTCCATGTTTTGACTACTGCTACGGTCAGCTGTATCATTGCTTAAAACATATTTACTTGGTTTGGCTTATGAAAAACAGTAGGCCTGATGCATTCCTTTTATTTCCTCTTCATTTCCTCTTCATTTTCTATCGCTCATCTTAGTTATTTCCTTTTCATTTTTATTGATTGCTCACCTTAGTTATTTTATTTTCATTTTTATTGATTGCTCTCCTTAGTTATTTCCTTTTCATTTTTATTTTTTTTTATTTTCTATCGCTCATCTTAGTTATTGTTATTTCATTTTTATTGATTGCTCACCTTAGGCATTAAAAGATTTAGTGTTTTACTGTTTTTATGGCTACAAAATGTAGTACTCAAAAAAGCCCACAAAAAAATTCAAATATCTGATGTAGAGAAACAAAAATTTAACTGGTTCCTCCCTAATGACGCATACTTTAAATGTGTTTACTTCATTTCAAGGTGATGTGTAATGCATATTTTGGTATTTGCTGGGTACAAATTGAAACAATGAAGCCCCTCCCCCAAAAGCTTTCACTGTACCCAAAAAAAAAGAGACAACAATATCCTCTGATGTAAACAAGGGGTATAGTGCTCTGTGACGTCTGTGTTCCAAACTTGAATTTCAAACAGAAGTAAAAAGGAATTTTCTGTAACACTGTCAACAAACTTGGACAACAGCTTCTTACCCCCTAAGCATTTATAGAAATATTGTAGAAGCTGTAAATGAATTGTAACCTTCACCAGTCCAACCGACTGAGATGCATTTTAATCAATGTAGGATCAAATAAATGATCCATATGGGTTGCCATAGCAACGGGATCAGTGCCACATGTGTCCATCCCTGAGAAACAAGACAGACAGCAAGATCATGATGGGCTTATGAGACAGAGCCTTTAAAGCCACAACCACCTGGGAGCTGTGTGTGTGTGTGTGTGTCCTAGTATTACTCATGATGTGTGTGTTTACACAGTCTCAAGTGGGGACTTGACTTCCTTTTGAGGACAAGAAGCAAGTCCCCATAATGGAAATCATATTTTAGGAAG